CTAAATTCTGAAAATACTGCAATATTTAGTGATATCAAAGGTTCGGGGAGCAAGTAGGGGTGTAGAAAGCAAGATGGAATAGAAGATAAGGACATTCAGGCTGAAGATCTCAAGGAACCAGGGATAAAGTGCTGAAAAGCTCCATCATGGCGGGGATGCTCTGACCCAGCAGGGAGAAAGACTAAGCCAGGATTGAACTCTTTTTAATTTATTTTTTAGTACCAGGGATTGAACTCAGGGGCACTCGACCACTTCCCCAGCCATATTCTATATTTTATTTAGAGACAGGGTCTCACTGAATTGCTTAGCACCTCACTCTTGCTGAGGCTGGCTTTAAACTCGTGATCCTCCTGCCTCAGCCTCCTGAACCACTGGGAAGGATTACAGCGTGAGCCACCACATCCGGAAGGATGTGAACTCTTTGATGCCTAGGACAATGCCAATCATAAGGGGGAGAGGACAGTTAGAGGCAAAAGCTTCTAAGAAGAGGGATCACAGGATTTCCAAGAGGGTCAATGTCTACTAGGGAGGCTGTGGCAAGAGGATTATAAGAAAGTCATAAGGAGGCCACCAACCCTACTTCTGGTGCTGATGCACAAAGGAAAAGGGCGAGGGTGAGAACACAGCCTCCATTTAAAAAGTTATACAACACACACACACAAAGTTATACCACAGCCTGGTGTAGTGGTACGTTCCTGTAATTCTAGCTACTCAGGGAGGCTGAGGCAGAGGGATTGAAAATTTGAGGCCAGCCCCAGCAACTTAGCAACACCCCACCTTTTTAAAGAATTATATAGGGCTGAGATGTACCTCAATAGCATAGCACTTGCCTAGCATGCATATGGCCCTAGGTTCCATCCCTGATACTGAGGCAGGTGTGTGGGTGGAAAGGTTATATGACAGTCATATCATCAGGGAATAACCCAGTTTTAAAATGGAATCAGGAGATGGTTAAGACACAGAGGTTCACTGACCACAAAGCAGATGTTCTGGAGGTGATGAAAAGTTAAAAGTACAAGAAAGATATGGTTTAACGAGGGGATGCACAGCAGCAGTGGTAGGAATGATTAGAAAGGCTGGGGAAGCAGCTCACAAGGCACCACAGGATTCATCCAGAGCATCTATAGAGGCAGGTGTGTGGGCATAGGTCCTTTGCTACAACCTTGAATGCTTATATCGGTGTTAACTGCAAGAGGCTAGGAAGTAGGACTGTTCCTAATTGTGAAACACACAAAAGGAGGTACAGCACAGGGCCTGGCACTTTCTAAATGCCCAATAAGTGTGTGTCAGTGAATCACTTGGGAAAGACTCAGCCAGTTCCCATTTCCTCCCCCATCTGGCCACAAGCCCCAAGGCCTCTACCAAGAAGCAGGTTTTTAGTTTACCACAATTCTCCCTTCCCACAGAGAGCCACTCAGACACCAGTACAAGTCACCACCCACCAGGGGTTTAATTCTCCTAGGACAAAAGGTCAGTTCAAGAGGGTCCTGCCTTGTCCCCATCCAGGGGTAAAGATCTGCAGGGCACCCTGGGAATGTCCAAGCCCAGAGGAGCCTGGGAGTAGTCCCTGAGCAAGTGGAAAAGTGGATCCCAGAGTCTCAGGCCACCTCTTCCTCTTCACTCTCCTCCTCACTCTCATGATACTGTCTGCGATTGGTGTTAACAAAGAGGTCAGAATCATCTTCAGAGGCAGACTCTTCTCCTGATGACTGTGGCTCAGCTGGGAGTTCTGGCTGAGTTTGTCTGCATGGAGGAAGCAGAAAGAATCAGCCTAATACCTTCTAGGAAAATCAAATCTGCAACCAAGGAGTCCCCAAAAAGGAGGATCATTTGGCCAAGCAGACACACAGGCGTTTAAAAATGCAGCAGTTCCAGAGAGAGAGAGAGAGACAGAGAGAGAGAGAGAGAGAGAGAGAAAGCAGCAATTCCTTAAAAAACACAAGAAGAGACAGAGAGTCAGAGCCAATAGTGGGAAAACAAACACTGTCCCCAACCCCAAAAGTTTACTACAGCCATTGGTTTCAGTTAGGAATCAAAACAATTCTAACACTTACTAGGCCCATATTCCACGCCAGGTACCGTACTAAGCAACTTTATAAGCATTAGCTCTTTCTTACAAAGCTCCTATCTTATACCTGAGAAAACAATCTTAAAAGACTAAGTAACACGCCTAGAGTAACTTAACTATAAATGGCAAAGGTAGGAATTTAACCCAGGGCATCTAACTTTCAAGCCATATTCACAACCACATGTTCTTCCACATGTTTAGGAACTCTCACCAGAAATGAGAGAGAAATGTAGGCTCTACTTTCTCCAGACAAAGGTAAAAACCCTATTTTCTCTTCCCTACACTAGGGTGTGCTCCTCACCTGTTCCTGTTGTGTTTCTCAGCCACTTCAGAGAAGGCCTCAGGCCTGTGCCAAGAGAAGAGCCAGGTCAGAGAGGACAGAGAAACCTCTCAGCAAAAGAGCTGTTTCCAGCTGTCCCTGCCAGGGATGCCACATTCTTCCCTCTCCCAATTCCCTAGCTAGGAAGTCAGTATCCCCCAGAAACCACAAAACTAAGGGTCAGGGGCATCCTACCAGAGGCCCTCCTTCTGCAGAGAGCGCACATGGTCCTTGCAGAGAACAAAGGAGATCTCAGCCTTCACCTTTTCTCCCTCTTCAATGGGGTCAACAATGAGAAAGTCCCCTGTAGGCAAGAAAAGGCATGCTTGCAATGGGGAGCCAGGACCACAGGAAATGATTCTGTCTCCTAGAAGGCTGCCTTTCTCACCTCTCTTAATCCAGATGTTCTTGCGGTATTTGGATGGCATGCTCACCAGGAAGCGCTGCCCTTGGGCTGTCTCCACCTCATGCAGATTATTCCCTGGTGTCCTGAGTACCTGGTCCAAGAAAGACCAAAAGACAGCTTTATCAGTCACAAACACCCGCTGAGCTGCAATGCACCCTACTCCCACCCCAGGGGTCCTATGGAGTGGAGGGGTTGGGAGCAGAGCAGCCTGTGCCCAATGCCACTCACCCTCACGATCTGTTGCTGGTCAGAGGGCACCATGTGCTCCCCCAGCACCTCCTTCACCACATGCTTCCTCTTGGTGGCCTGTGACATGCTGGGTCCTGTCCCAGGGTGGTTAGGAACAAGAATACTGTAAGCTCCTTCTCTGAAGTTATTTTGATGACAGTTTCAGAAGCCAGGCTGTATGAAGATATGAAGATGGGAGGGGCCATTTACTGGAGAGTGACACAGCATCCTGGTTAAGGATTCAAGGTCTCACTGCCTAGATTCAAATTCTGCCTTGGCTATTCCCTGTTTTTTTTTTTTTTTTTTTTAATTCGCTTATTTGCTTTTGATACTGGGGATTGAACTTAAAAGTGCTTTACCAGTGAGTTACATGTCCAGCTTTTTTTTTTTTTTCCGAGATGGGTCTGGCTAACTTGCTCAGGGCCTTGCTAAGTTGCCGAGCCTGGCCTCCAATTTGTGATCCTTTTGTCTCAGGCTTTGGAGTTGCTGGGATTACAGGCTTGCTGCAGCAAGGAGTGTCAACTTCTCATTAAAAAACAAATGACAGGGGCTGGGGTTGTGGCTCAGTGGTAGAGTGCTCGCCTAGTGTGTCTGAGGCACTGGGTTTGATCAATGTCTAAAAATAATAATAATAGGACAAAACTGCTCACCTTTTCTATGCCCCCCCAAAACAATAGCTAACTCAACACTGCTATAAAATAAGATAATGAAAATGCCCCCAGCATGCATACCACACGAGATGACTCCTGTTATCAGAAGTCCTGTTGTGGTCAGGAACTATACATATTTCAGAGAACTTGAGATAAATTGTACCTTTCTCGACATGAATATCATCCCATCTCTAGCACAGCCACGTAACACAAATGCTCAATCTCTTAACACACTACAGGCAGAGACGAATTCAGTGACCACCACGACTGTCCAAGCCAGAAATGCGTGAAGGGTCGAGGTGAAGCAAGCTTGGTCTGCGGCAGCTGCCGTATCTCGGAAGACCAGAGCTGGTATCACCGAAACTGATAGTTTCCAAAGGAAACTCCGACGTGTCTCTAATTGCCGTCTCCAGTCCTCTGCTCCCTTCACCCGGAGGAAAGACCCACACTTACTCGTTGGCCCTTGGGTACCACAGGCGCTGCACAAGCAACCTTGTTTTCCAGCTGGACGCTGAGAGCGGATAGTTCACGACTAGAAATTTCAAAGCCGAGCCAACGAAGGCACAAAAATGGGACTTGCCGGTGATCACCACGGAACAGCAGTTCTGGACTCCGGATCGTGGCGTTCCCAATTTCCGCGAGTCCAACTACAAGGAGGACAGCAGTTTGAGTCGGACCCTGTCGTGTGCTTCCGGCGCTCACTCAAAAACCTTCCGGCCGCACTTCCCCTACTTTGTCCGTTCCTCTAACTTTTCCTACCGCAGGGTCCGTCAGACCCAAGTCCTTGGGTTCTAAGTACCGGGTAGTGAACAAAGGAAGTATCCTATTCGGAAGCTTCTCTCTCTCAGACTGGAGGAGCAGCCCCAGAAGCGACACCACAGAGGGCAGCGTGGCTTTCCGCCAGGGGCCAAAAAAGAGCGGCTAGTGTCTACATGACTGAGACGTAGGGCAATCCAACTCTATGGCCCCTCAGCGGCTAGAAGTGCCCAATTACTTTTTTAAGGCGGGTCTTGAGACAACCCGGAAGCGGAAGTCGAAGAAAGTTCTAGTGGCTTGAGGTATCGGCGGGAGCTGCCAAGTAGCAAGAGCAACCGTTACTGGAGCCGCAGCTGCCTGTGAGCGTGAGCCTCCCAGCGGGGCCCTAGCTGGAGGCTGGAGGAAGGGCGGGGAGGAGGGGAGGAAAGGGACCCCATTGCTGTGGCGAGCCAGGGAGTGCACCTTAGGAGAGGGTTCGGCCGCGGGGAGGAGCGGCGCGTGGCGCGTGGGAGCGGCGGAGCGTGGAGGGGGCGGGGCGGCGCGCGCCGGAGGCGGGGCGAGGCCGGCTGGGGCGGTGTGAACCCCACGGGGCCGCGCGAGCTGGGGTAGGCGCCGCGGGCCTGCGCCTTCGCTCTGAATGCCGTGTGAAGGGCGGGTGAGGCAGAGACCCTGTTTTGGTTTTTCACACCGCATGGCTGCTCGAGCAGTGTCAGTGTCATCTTTGCGCAGCCAAGGTCACCGAGAGTGTCAGCTCTAGGGCGCGTCCGGCCACCGACTTTGGGTGTCTTTCTATTGCCCTGCGTGCGCCACCTGTTAGAGCTGGATTGTTTCTATTGGGACTGCACGGAAACCTAGTTCCCCCAGGGAGTGGAAGACATTTCTTTTCTGAATAGTAGGGAGATTGTCCCTGGTTCTCAGTTTTCTCTGTGAAATGAGGGATTTCACCATAATGGCCCACCTACGTTTTAATATGAGATTGCTCTTGAACCTTTGGGAGCTCAGGTCCTCAGCCCTAACTTGCTTTTTCTTGAGATTCCTAGATTAAGCTCGATCAAGATGACCACCTCCCAAAAGCATCGAGACTTCGTGGCAGAGCCTATGGGGGAAAAGCCAGTGGGGAGCCTGGCTGGGATTGGTGAAGTCCTGGGCAAGAAGCTTGAGGAAAGGGGCTTTGACAAGGTGTGGGTTGGCTACGTATACCAGGGGAGACCTGAGGGGAGAGATGGCAATTTCTTAGGGCAGACTGGGAGTGGGAACAAGCTAGGGGGGAGGAGTAGACAGTGGTGGATAATCCGAAGTGACTGGCTACCTGGGAGAGATGAAGTAGGGGCAGAACCTGCCCTACTTCATGGGCTTGTGTGCTCTAAATGTCACAAAAGTGGCATTGTTCTCCTATCCAAATATCAAGCAAGATTGACTCTGCTTAGCTTCAGAGGCCAGAGGGGATCTGGCACATTCAGGGTGGTGAGGTGGTAGACAGCTGTCTTGCTTTTATTCTCCACAGAACTCAGCAGCATGCCTTTTATTTTGCCTGTTTTGCAGGCATATGTCGTCCTCGGTCAGTTTCTGGTGCTAAAGAAAGATGAAGACCTCTTCCGAGAATGGCTGAAGGACACATGTGGTGCCAATGCCAAGCAGTCCCGGGACTGCTTTGGGTGCCTTCGAGAATGGTGTGATGCCTTCTTGTGATGTTCTCTGGGGAGCCCTCAATCCCTAGCCCCATTATCAAGTCTCCAGAGTTTGCAGCTGAGTGGGGGCTCCTTGTCCTCTACAAAGGAAAAGATTGCTGTTGTTGTACTCCAGGGTCTTTGGGAGTTCTCTCCCCTCACCATTTCAATCTTTTTTGGAATTTTTGCTCTTGCATGCAACTCCCTTTTTCTTTCCCCTGCCAGTTCCATGGAAATCATTAACCAGCTTTTCTGATTGGATTCCTGGCCCCTTCCCTCACCCCCACCTTCACCTCTGGTCTGTTTGATGCCATTTGGCACCTTTTTTGGCATAACAGTCACTGTCCTTGTAAAGTTTTTTAGATCAATAAAGACAGTGGCCTTCATGACTGAGTGTTGTGTGTTGAAAAGTAAGTGGGCTGAGAGTTGCCTCTTCCCCAGAGCTGATGGTGTCTGCTGCACTCCTTATCAGTGCAGAACGAAACTGACACCTTCCCTTCCCACTCCTAGAGGGTAGCCACCCTAGCCACATGGGCCTTGGCAGGTGGCTTGGAGTGTCCCAATCCCAGGATGATGTGGGAGAGAGTGTGGGTTGACTTCCTGGGAGCCAGGTAGGCTATGGTGTTCCAGCTGTCACTCAAGTCAACAGCTAGGCAGCACCTGGTGGAAAAGTCAGTAGGAGTCAGGTACCAGGAAGAGGGTGGACTGGATATAGGTAAGAGTTCACCTACTGATCACCCCATCATCTCTCATGCCCTAAAAGGCGTGGGCAGGGCTCTTGCTATCTGCCCAGATGTCTTGGGGGGAAAGCAGTAAGGGAGTTACACTTGAATTTAGTATATTTAGGTCCTTTTCTCTCTTGCTCTTTTCTTTCTGTACTAGGGATTAACACAGAGCTTTTTGTAGGCTAGGCAAGTATTCTACCACTAGGCTATGTCCCCAACCCATTTTATTTTAGTTTTTGGTACCAGGGATTGAATCCAGGGACACATAACTACTGAGGCACATCCCCATTCCTTTTTAAATTTTTGAGACAGGATCTTGCTAAATTGCTGAGGCTGGTTTTGAACTTGTGACACTCCTGCCTGAGTCTCCTGAGCCGCTGGGATTACAGGCATGCATCACCATGCCTGGCCCTTTTTATTTTGAGACAGGGTCTTGCTAAGTTGTTCTGGCTGGCTTCAAACTTGCCGTCCTCCTGCCTCAGCCTCTTGAGTTGCTGTGTGTGACAACGCCATGCCCAGCTTGATCCTGTTTTTTCTTGGGACATTTATGAACCTTCCTGAAACTGAAACTTTTGCAAACATTTTTTTCCTTTCATAATAATAAACCATTGTTTTGTTTTTTAGAAGTGAAGAGACTTGGGACTCAGAGAAGTTAATTTGCCCATAGACTTGTTGCTGAGAAATAGCCAGGCTAATTCAGACTGTAACTTGGTCATGTCACTTAGTCCCTCTCGAGTCTCAGTTTTCCCACTTAGGAAATGAGATTGTTTTAGGGATCAAATGAAATGCTAGCTGTATACCACCCATTCATGCTTGGCATTCATCCCTTCAACAGACCATCATTGAACAGCGACTTACTTGCTGTATAAACAAATTGTTCACACAGTCTCTACTGGCTGAAGAGGCACAAATGATGGATATTAAAACAAATGGATAATATGAGTTTTCAGGGACGTCAAGATAGAGAAAAATTAAGAGATTAAGTTGACAAAACTACATTAATATTAGAAATTCTATATAAAATCATAGAGTGAAGAGACAAACCTGGAGTGGAAAAGATATTTGAAAAAATATAAAGTATCTAACCCAGAGCATGTGGAACGGTGGTCAAGAAAAAGTTGGAAAGAATAGAAAAACTGGCAAAAGACATAAAAGGCAGTCCCAGAAAATATACCCTAACAGCATGTGAAAAGGCTTGATTTCATTAGTAATCAGAAAAGCAAATCCCATCAACGCCCACCCAATTGGCAAGAATCTTAAAAAGTCGGACAATAACAAGCATTGAGCATATGGAGCAACAGGAACTCCTGTGTTGGTGGGAGTGTGAATTACTGTGAGCACTCTGGGAAAACACTTGGGCGTTATTTTACAAAGCTGACACACCCTGTGAGCTGGCAATTCCACTCTTAGGACTATGCCTTGAAGAAGCTCCTGAACACCTGCACTAGGACATTTGTGAGTGTGCATAGTTCTGTTGATTATAATAGCCCCCAATGGGACACAACTGGTGGTTCTCAGTATGAGGATAGATAAGTAAATAAAGCTGCACAGTGGTGAAAAACCAACAAAAAGATGGGGTCCGCTCATGTAAAGTTAAGTGAATTCTTGCTTAAGGATCCCTATATAGATGGTAAGTCTAGAAAGGAAACCAAGAAGCTAGGCATAGTGCTGCACACCTAGAGTCCCAGCTGCTAAGAAGGCTAAGGAGGGTTGCAAGTTCAGTGCCCATTGCTGTGCAAAAAAAAAAACAAAAAACAAGGGAATGCTTATTGCAAAAGTTAGTAGTAGGTCCATAGTGTAGGTCAGTGGTGGAGCACCTGCTGAGCATGGGCAAGATTCTGGGTTCCATCCCCAGCACCAGGGGGAAAAAGTCAATAATAAGAAAAAAATCTGTGGTAGAGGGTGTGATAGTGGAAGGGCTTGGCAGTGGGAGTGGCATTTCCATTTTTTTGACCTTTGGGGTGGTAATGTAAATATTAGCTACTTATTAAATTGGTCAGGGGCAGGGTGTAGCTCAGTGCATAGCATGTGTGGGACCTGGGCTTGATCCCAGTACTAAAAAAAAAGTTTTGTTTTTTTTTTTAATTTACCTGAACACATCTGTTCTTCGATGCCCTTAATGTGGATCATTCTGAAATGTATCAGCTACATTTCAGAATAATATAAGGAAACACAAAACTAAAGACCAGAGGATGGAACAATGATCTGGTAAGCTGGGCACTATGGTCTGTAGGGACAAGGGTCCAATTGAGGCTGTATCTGGGTAGGATAAATGGCCCACTGTGATAGAGACGTCAGATGGCCAATCCAGTTGGCTATAGTCAGCCACCGTACAAGCAGAAGCATCACTGAATGCTTAGAAAGCACATCCTCGAGCCACATCCCCAGCCCATTTTTTTTAATATTTATTTTTTGTAATTGGACACTATTTTTTAAAAAAAATATTTATTTTTTTAAACACAATATCTTTTATTCTATTTATTTTTATGTGGTGTTAAGGATCGAACCCAGAACCTCACGTGCTGGGCGAGTGCTCTACCACTGAGCCACAACCCCAGCCCTCCCAGCCTATTTTTATATTTTATTTAGAGACAGAGTAGTTTATGTCTTCACTAAGTTGCTGAGGCAGGCTTTGAATTCCTGACCCTTCAGCCTCAGCTTCCCAAGAAGCTGGGATTACAGGCATGTGCCACCATACCTGTCCAAGATGACATTGTTATGCAATATTTTTAAAATTCAGATGAAGGCCAAAATCCACAACAAACAAAATATCAAAGAGAGGATCCAACCCTGTATACAAATTTGCTTCTGCCACTTCTCCCTGGTCCTTGCTAGATGCGGGCAGAAGGGATAGCAGCTTCTCCCTCATGTCTGTTCCAGCTTCAGGAAGTTGTGACTAGGTGGGTCTCGGCCTTCTACAGGGACCAGGTCTCTTCCTCCTGCCCCAGGACCTACCAGAGCCCCTTACCCACTCCAGGTCTGGGTCCCCAGCTCAGAGCCCTGCATGTGCTTGGGACAGTGGGGCACAATGGAGGGAGGGAGGGGTATATCCAGGCCTGTTTCCCTGGCACCCTTCACCTACCTGGCTCCTCCCCAGCTGGTGGCTGGCATCAAATGCTACCTGACAGTGGAGATGGAGAGCACAGCGTGCCGGAAGACCAGGGTCTCTGGAGACCATGTGGACCTCACCACCTGCACCCTGCACAGAACCTGAGGCCCTGGGCTTGTCCCACCTGAGCTGGTCTGGCTGGCTGGGCAGAGACTTAGCTGAACCTGCCCTGCTTTTGGGTGACTCAGCTTCAGGCCAGTGTGAGGTGCAAGAGGAGAGGCTGGAGCTTTCCTGGGTGTGGGGGATTTGCTGGAAAGACCTGGGATCTAGTCCCATCATCAGACTATGTGTCGCTGGGGCCAGTGATTGCCCCTCTGTGGCCCCAGAGTGACAAGGCAGGCAGAGAGCTGGCTCCTGGGAGGAGGCTGACCCCTGGGCTGGGCTCACCCCTCCCTGTGCCTTGGCTCTCTACAGAAGCTGCGCTGTGACTTTGAGATCCTCGAAGTCCCTTGGAAGAACTCAGCTTCTCAAACAAGACTGTGTGCAGCTGTAGTAGGTTTGCAGGTGGGAGTGGTGGGCCCCCAAACACAGCCAGAAACTCCCAATAGTCTTAGAAAAGGGATTGGGACAAAGAGAAGAGAGATAATGTCCCAAGACTAGCCCCAAGGACAGTGTCTGCTCAGAAGGGGAGTGCATGCCCTGCTTCTCTCAGCACCTGGGAGAAGTTCAGGCATGCATGTGGGAGGTTCAGCCCACTGGGTCTTGGACACTGAGTTTTCTGTCCACTAACGTTCCTGTGCCTGTGTGTGGTCCAAAGTGGGTTGCCTGTCCTGCACAGCCACTGCTGTGCAGGCGATGTCCTGGTCCCATGGCCTCTTGGTCTACAACATTTCTAGTACAATTGAATTTGTGGCTGTAGTACATACTCAGACACATACACTCACACCTACAACCCTCAACTCTACAGACATTCACACCCATAAACCCACAGGACACACTCAGATGTTCCCAGACACCATAGACATGCCCTGAAAAAACACCAGCGCCCACCTAGCAACCAACTATCCAGCAACACAACCTAGCAACTCAGAAGCAAAGCAAACACAGAAGCAGCACCCCAAGATAGCCTAGAGATGGGCACGCAGACTCCCAACACTAGCCAGAGTCCCACGTCTCCACCTGGGGGTGTTCCTTGGATGCACCAACTCGCACCCACACCCAGGACAGGAGGAAGTAACCTGGTACCTTGAGGCACTGGGTGTTTGCAGTGTGAGGCCCAGATTGGTAGCACTGTGGGGGAGTGGGGAGCAACCCAGATGATGGGTGACCCTCAAACAATATTGAACAAATAAAGCAAAATATACAATGGTGTGATTCTGTTCATGTAAAGTTAAGAAGTAAATTCTTGCTTAGTGACCTCTACATAGATAATAAAACTAGAAAGAAAAGCAAGGAAATGTTTATTGCAAGTCAATAGTAAGCCTGGCATGGTGGTGCCCACTTGTAATACCAACTACTTGGGAAGCTGAGGCTGGAGGATCACAAGTTCAAGGCCAGCCTCAGAAACTTAGTGAGGCCCTGTTTCAAAATAAAAGGATTGGGGGTGTAGATCAGTGGTACAGTGCTTGCCTTGCATGCAGGGCCCTGGATTCAATACCTAGTATGGCAAAAAGTAAAGAAAGAAAATATCAATAGTGATTATCTTTGTTTGATTATGGAAGGGTGTAGAGGTGGGAGTGGCATTTCATTTTTGACGTGGATGGTGGAAATACATGCACTGACCCTGCAATTATTTGTTAAAAGGAACATGCATCTTCTGGCTTGTTTTCTATGTATTAGCTACATTTCAGAATAATAGAAGGATAAGAAGGAAACAAAAAATAAAAAAACTGGTGATTGAATGAGTATGGGACAAAGTGACAGAATTGTCACTAGTAGGAATGAGGGTTCTCTCAAGCTGGGTCTGGGCAGCGTGTGGCTCAGCTGGCAGGTTCCGCCAGAGCAGGGGCCACTGTGGTTCAGCTGCTTCCTGGGAGGAGCCCATTGAGGTAGTAGAGTGGCCTTCTCTGGAGTCTGAGATATACTATGTGCCTAATGTTTTCCTGATGGGTCCAGACACACTCAGCCTCAACCCTTGTGCTTGTGACACTGTCATTTGCCTGGTGTGCTTAGGTAGGGGCTCGGTAGGGCTACAGCTTATCCACACTCAGCCCTGACACAGTCACATTGTTGCTGTTGAATGACAAGGTGATGGAGATGCTCTCCTGCTCTATGAAGCCCTTCCTGTGGCTCCAGCCCATACTGGTTGCCTGGCTTTGCCTCCCTGGCTCTGGCACTGGGACCCTAGTGGGACCCTGTGTGACATACTCTCTTCCTTGTTTCTTCAATGTTCACCTTTCCCTGGCTCACCCATGGGTTTTGTCACCTCTCCCTGGGGCTCGACTGGAGCCCGGGACAGATTGATAGGGCAGGAGCCCTTCATCTGGGCTCTTTATGTTATATCTCACACAAATCCCTGGATCAGTCCTGGGGCAGCAGGGGACAAAGGGCATCTAGAATGTACCTTGTGACAGAGTGGCCTCTTAGAGGTCCAGCCCTGACTCAGCCTGGCGTGCTGGAGAGAGGGCAGGCCTGATGGAGGAGGCAGAGCTTCTCAGCCAGGGCTCAGGGCTCAGCAGGTTGAGCTGAGCACCTACTGGCCTGGGGTTGTTGGTGGGCCCAGAAGTCAGCAAATATTCACACAATATACCTCTTGCCACCCTGACTCCCTGTATGCAGCCAGAGCTTGACCCCTCAGTTGCTCTAGTCCCTAGCACTCAGATCTGGCCCGCAGCTTAGGGTGAACCCTGGTGTCCTAAGGGCTTCTTCCTGCTGTCCCTAGAAAGGAAGGGACAAACAGCCCAAGACACCTTCCCCACCTAGCCCAGTGGCAACCCAGATGGAATAGAAGACGCCCAGTTGGTGCTCATGGCTGTGGCCTCCCTTTCAGGGTGTCCCCTCCCTGCAGGCACCAGGACTCTCTCTGCGGCCATCACTCTGGCTTCAACTAATGGTAACCTTGAAGAACCAGCCAGGGGCACAAGTTCTTCCCTCGGTCACCTGGTGATCTGGAGCCAGTTGTTCCACCCAGTGCAGGGCTCTGAAGATTCAATCAGCTGATGAACAGGACACCCCGGCACTGAGGGGAACTCCTCCATGGAGTCACACGTGTCCTTGCCAGGAAGTTTTCTTTCCAGGATATGTGTGACAGGACAAGGGGAGCAGAGTCCTAGGGAGAGAATGTCCTTCACCCAGCTGAAGTCTCAAGGAAGAGGGATGGGGTGGGCTACAGCAAGGAGCCTGCCAGGGTGGGCCCAAGGTGAGGAGGTTGTGAGAGGCCTCCCTGGTCATCAAGACCCATCAGGCCATGAGAAAGAGAAGGGTGCTGTGGGCAACCTGGGTTGGAAGGCCTGAGCCACAGCAAATCTGGAGCCTGTGCCCCATGGCCAGTGGGATGGCCAATCTCAAGTTCATGCTTGGCCCAGGGTGTTTTCTGGAAGCCAGAGTGATCCAGACAGGATGGAGCCCAGACTACAGGCTCCTTTCTGGATGAGACAGACCACCTTCAGGAAGCACCCCTCTGCAGAACAGCCTGGTCAGCACAGGACATTGCGGGCATGTGGGTGCTACTCCAGGTCCTACCATTTCTTCTTTGACCCCTCATTTCCTCCTTGTAGAAAAAGGTAATAATCACTACTCTGCAGAGCCACTATGAGAACAAGAAAATGTGACTCAAGGCCTAGCATGTGGCAAGAGTCCAGTGATGGTTAGTTTCCCTCTCCTCCCTCTTTTTCTCTCCAGATAGTACTTCTAGCCAAGTGACTTCAGATTAGCTCTGATTAATCTTCTGCAGATGAGGATACTACTACCTCAAGGTTTGAGAGGAGTAATCAGTGGACGAGAAGTCCTTGGAAATTGCTAGATTGTAGCACCAAAGACTCATTGACATTAGCACAAAGCAGTGATGGACAAGGTAGGTGACAGTGACTGGTGACTCACTGTTTCTTGGTGAATCAGAGATGGTGCTTTACTTTTCAAGGGAGTTATGAGAAGTAAGTGTGGCCATGACTGAGCTCCATGGTGGAAGAGCAGAGCTGGGGCCTCCCAGGGAGGTTGCCTGGTCCCTGTGGCAGCCTGCCACCTCTCCCTGTGAGCTGTCCTATGCCTCTCAACTCATGGTCCCTACCTGGCCAAGCCTCCTCATCAAGCCAAGCTTAGGCCAGCTCTCCAACAAACAGAAGTCTGTCTCTTTAAGACAGACGCCTGAGCCTGTGACAAACTTGTGACCTTTTCCTTGGAATCCCAGGGAGGTAGCAGTTTGTTTTTCATAGCTGGACTGACTGGGTGGGGAAGCAGATTGGCAGCTGGACTGGCAGTGACCATGCTCTGGTCTGAGAAATCACTTCCTCATGGCCCTAGGATTCTAGAATTGGGGAAGGGGGAATGCTGGATGTCTGCTTATGATACTCACCACAATAATAGTGCCGGGGTGATGGCACACACCTGTAATCCCAGCAATTCAGGAGAAGGCCGAGGCAGGGTGATCTTAGTTCAAAGCCAGCTTCTGCAATTTAGCAAAATGTGGTCTCAAAATAAAAAGTGAAAAAGGCTTGGGATGTAGATCAATGGTAGAATACCCCTGGGTTCCATCCCCAGCACCACAAACCAAACCAATAATAGCTATCACTAACAAAGCACCAATCTTTTGCCAGGTACTGTAAGTGGCCACCTCCTCTGAGCCCCATGTAAGACTCCAAAAAGATTTCAATGTCCCAAGGACAAATGTCCTGGCTCTCCAACATATATTAAAGCCCAAATTATGCAGACTCTGAAGCACAAAGAATTCTAACAAAGTCCAGGCTTTTCCTGTGTTGATTGCTTCAATGCTATTTTTTATATATTTATTATTGGAGTCTTTCAAAAAGTTGTGGGGTCCCTATGTTGCTGGTACTTCTAGCACTTGTCCAGTGTGCCTAGGGGTGACTCGGTCTGGAGGCATTGGCGTTAGAACAAACTTAGGAGAAAAAAATTTTTTTTTCTTAGAGAGAGAGAGAGAATTTTTTTAATATTTATTTTTTAGTTTTCGGCAGACACAACATCTTTGTTTGTATATGGTGCTGAGGATTGAACCCGGGCCGCACGCATGCCAGGCAAGCGCGCTACCGCTTGAGCCACATCCTCAGCCCAGGAGAAAAATATTGTTACCCTTTTTTTCAGCTGAGGCTCTGGGAAGTTGAGTGATTTGTCCAGAGTTATCCAGTCAGTTAAACGGCAACAGGTATGACAGCCCCTTTTTCTGACAGTTCTCACCCTTGGGACTCAGTCTGGTTTAGGACTGCTAAGTTCTTAGAGCTCCCGGGCTCAAAAGCTAGCATCTCCATTTACTGGTGATCAACTGCTGTCTATAGTCAAATCAATTCTCCCTTCCATGTTATTTCTTCCTCTGCAAAGTGGAAACACTATAATTCCCTCTTGGTGCTGATTGTGAGTTAAATGACACTGGCTCAGGGCAGTAATGTCACCTACTTACCTGCTGTTTGTAGAACATCTGGCCTCTTCCAATTTACTTGTATCAGTTCATTGAATCCTCACAATACTCACTTTCCAGAAGAGGAAACAGAAGCAGTGAAAGGTTAAGTAACCTCTCCAAGGTCACACAGCCCAGAAATGGTGGGACAGTAAGAGCTCAAACATAGCTGTTGGTAGATCAGACTGGACAGACTTTCTGTGAACTGTTCCTACAGTGGCACTTAGTGCTGGGGTTTGTGGCTGTGCTCTCCCTTGCTGGAGGGCTGGGTAACGCAGCATCGTGGCACACAGGGGTTCTCTGACCCCTCGGCCCAGCCTGCAGGACCTGGGGGTGGGGAAGGCACCGTGCAGGGATCTGGGATCCGGGGGCGACTGGCGGCAGGCGGGGCCGGGCGGGGCCAGGGAGCCCGTAAAAGCAGCACAGGCCTCGGCTTGGCACTGACACTGCAGCCATGGCACGTTCTCACCTCCCGCTGGCGATGGGCCTGGCTCTGATCGCGCTCTGCCTCCTGGCGCTGTCCCCTGACGCCCGCGCTGATCCGCGAGGCCGCAGGACTGGAGAACGCCAGGACCTGGCTCCCAACGACCCGCAGGTGCAGAGGGCGGCGCAGGCAGCTGTGGCCAGCTACAACATGGGCAGCAATAGCCTCTACTACTTCCGCGACACGAACGTCATCAAGGCGCAGAGCCAGGTGAGCTGGGCAAGGGAACCCCGCCAGGGCTAGTCACTGCCTAGGTGCCCAGTAAAGGGGATGCCAAGGCAGAAAGCAATATTGCATACGATACTTAAAAAAAATTTTTTTTAGTTGAAGTTCGTGCAATATCTTTATTTTTATGTGGTGCTGAGGATCAAACCCACATAATACATGCAAGGCAAGTACTCTATCACTGAGCTACAGCCCCAGCCCACAATGCTTTCTTAAATGTTCATTTATTTTTTGTGACACTGGGGATCTAACCCAGGGCTTTGGGCATGTTAAGTAAGTGCTCAAGCACCAAGCTGCACCCCTGCCCACTATACAGTGCTTTCTTTTCTTTTGGTAATGGGGGTTGAACTCAGGGACACTCAACCACTGAGCCACATCCCCAGCCCTGTTTTGGATTTTATTTAGAGACAGGGTCTCACTGAATTGCTTAGTGCCTTGCTTTTGCTGAGGCTGATTTTGAACGCATGGTTCTCCTGTCTTAGCCTCCCAAGCCACTAGGATAATAGGCGTGCGCCACCATACCTGGATTCTCAAAATGAAAAATCCACCATGAACCAAGTTTCAGGATCCAATCCTGTAAATACAGAGTTCCCTTCACTAGAATCCCCCTGGTCCCTGCTAGATGGGGGCAAAGGGGAGGCAGAAGGGACAGGACAATAGCCTCTCCCTGGTGACGGCCTCAGCTTTGAGAAGGTGTGCCCAGGTGGGTCTCAGCCTCCTGAAGGGACCCGGCCTCTTCCCTCTGCCCCTTCCCCCTGCACCAGGACCCACCAGAGCCCCTTACGCACGCATTCCAGGTCTGGGTCCCCAGCTCAGAGCCCTGCATGTGCTTGGGGCAGTGGGGCACAATGGAGGGAGGGAGGGGTATATCCAGGCCTGTTTCCCTGGCACCCTTCACCTACCTGGCTCCTCCCCAGCTGGTGGCTGGCATCAAGTACTACCTGACAGTGGAGATGGAGAGCACAGCGTGCCGGAAGACCAGGGTCTCTGGAGACCATGTGGACCTCACCACCTGCCCCCTGGCCACAGGGGTGCAGCAGGAGGTAACAGCACTGCCCCAAGCCTGCACCCTGCACAGAACCTGAGGCCCTGGGCTTGTCCCACCTGAGCTGGTCTGGCTGGCTGGGCAGAGACTTAGCTGAACCTGCCCTGCTTTTGGGTGACTCAGCTTCAGGCCAGTGTGAGGTGCAAGAGGAGAGGCTGGAGCTTTCCTGGGTGTGGGGGATTTGCTGGAAAGACCTGGGATCTAGTCCCATCATCAGACTATGTGTCGCTGGGGCCAGTGATTGCCCCTCTGTGGCCCCAGAGTGACAAGGCAGGCAGAGAGCTGGCTCCTGGGAGGAGGCTGACCCCTGGACTGGGCTCACCCCTCCCTGTGCCTTGGCTCTCTACAGAAGCTGCGCTGTGACTTTGAGATCCTCGAAGTCCCTTGGAAGAACTCTTCTCAGCTTCTCAAACACAACTGTGTGCAAGTGTAATCGGCCCCCAGGCGGGAGCGGATGAAGGGACACATGGTGGAGGGCACCTCAGAGCCATTGCCACATCTTCTGCAATAAATCACTGGCACTGCTTCTTGCATTGGTTTCTTCTGTGTGCTCCACTCCCCACTTCCCACCCAGCTACTGATGGCTCCAAACATTCCCCAGCTGACGAGCCACCCATGGTATTCCAGGGGGTGCTATCCCAGCCCAGACAGCACTGACAGTTCAGGGCTCAGCCCTTGAATCTGGGGATCTCCAACTTTCCAGCATCACAGACATGAGGAAACAAATTCTGGGGTCCCCAATCACAGACTCCCACTAGCCTCAGGTAACAAGAGACAAAGTCACAGAAGAGGGATTGTATCCCAAGACTAGCCGGGGACAGTGTCTGTGAGCACTTAGAAGGGGAGCCCATGCCCTGCTCCTCTCAGCACTTGGGAGAAGCTCAGGCATGCATGTGGGGTGCCCAGCCCATTGGGTCCTAGACACTGAGCTTCCGGCCCACTAATGCTCATATGTCTGTGTGTGGCCCAAAGTTGTCTTACACAGCCACTGCTGGCCAAGAGCCATGAGGCCAGGACATTGCCTCTTACATTCTCACTAGTAGGACCCCCCCAGGTTCCCTTGGCAAGACCCCTGGAAGGCACTTGGGGCATCGTGCTGAGTGACCAGCATTTTCCTTCCTATGATCGGTAGAGGCTCTGTTGGTCACTTTCGTAGTGATCTGGCCACATTCACAGTGGCCCTAGACAGCTGCCCTGATCCTTGAAGTAGCAGAATGGGTCTTCATGCATAGGCGTGCCTTCCTGCAGCCTCAGGGGTCGAGCTACGCTCACCTGTTCCTTTGTGATATTACTCCCTTGCCCTGTTTGGGAAAGAATGTTCCATGGAAATGCCCTTTGGGTGTGGCCTTCCTAGATGTCAGTCAACCTGCTGACAGCAGACATCATGAAGTTAGACTCAACCCCCTGAAACCTGACCCCTGGCCTCATTTGAATGGCTTCTCCTCAATAAAAGGGGTCAGAACATGCTGGCTCTCTTTCTGTGGACCCTTAAGGTCAGAGGAGCCGTCACAGGACTCCCAAAGAAAAAGGTATCTCTGCTCTTGTGTGGTTATTTCGCGCAGCCCAGTTCCCCTGGAGTGATCCTGAGTGTTTTTGTCGCCAGGAACATGACAAGGCACTGGACATGGAGCCCCAGAGGGAGCAAGTGCAAACCTGCTGCCCACATGAGGAATAGTTCTGACTGAATGTCACTTAAAGAAAATAGGGTTGCAACATTTCTTGCATAGTTGAATTTGTGGCTGAAGTGCATACTCAGACACACACACTCACACCTACAACCCTCAACTCTACAGACATTCACACCCATAAACCCACAGGACACACTGAGATGTTCCCAGACACCATAGACATGCCCTGAAAAAAACACCAGCGCCCACCTAGCAACCAACTACCCAGCAACACAACCTAGCAACCCAGAAGCAAAGCAAACACAGAAGCAGCACCCCAAGATAGCCTAGAGATGGGCTTGTAGACCCCAGACACTAGCCAGAGCCCCGCATTCCCACCTGGGAGTCTCTCTTTGATGCACCAACTTGCACCCACACCCAGGACAGGGGGCAGTAAGCTGGTGCCTTGGGGGTTCTGGTTGTCAGCAGTGTTCAAGCCCAGAGATGGCATGGAGAGAGCTCTGGCATTCCTTCTCTGCTGCCCACACGCCCTTCTTTCCAAATAAGTCTCTATACCCCACCTGTTCCTGCCTGGGCCCCACCTAGTGGTGGGATGTTATGAGCTTCAGTGCCAGCTCCTACACAAGGATGAAGATGGAGAGTTACAAAATAGATGCTGAGTTCCACCTGACATGAGTAGCTGAGGGTTTGACAGGGACATGAGGAATAACTTCTAGCCCTGCTCCTGCTGGACCCTGCTGGCTATGACAGCCCAGACAGCTAGTGTGTGTGTGGCTGGCTTGGAAGTGCTCCATGTGACACCAAGCAGGAGGCTCCAACACAGGACCAATGCAGGGTAGGTGGCAGAAAATGCTTGATGAATGAATGCGTGAGATCTTGGGGTGAGGCAAATCCCAGGGATGACTGCCTAGTGGCTTCTCCATCCCTGGAATCTCTGCCCAAACCTAGATGGCATTTCCTCTGCACAGTCCATTCCTGGACCTTGGGCCAGCCTGTGTCCTCAGCTAGGCTAGGAAGGGGAAGCTGCTTCTGTCCTAAGGCACGGGGGCTCTACCACTGTCTGGTCCAGCCCAGAGGCAGAGGTGGTTATCAAAACTGCTGCACCCTGGACTGGCCTCCACTAAGGGTGAGATGGTTGTAGATGGTGGAAGACCCCAATACTGGGTGGGGACCCTCAAGGTTCAGACTTGGCTTGAACTTGATTTAGTGCTAGGTCTGCAGTATCTAGCACAGGCTAGCCCAGCCATGGCCACAGCCTGTCCAGACTCAGGCTATAAATAGGGGAATCTCCCAATGCAGCTGGTCCATCCCACTTACCTACTGCCCGCACCTCCCCTGAGGCCAGAAGGACTTGAGCAGCCTCCTCCACCCTCCTTACTGAGGCTCTGTAGTCTAAACCCAGGCAGAGGGCAGGGTGGATGACAATGCCAGACCCAATATCCCCAAGGTTGATGTCCTTATACTGGATGCTCATGGTGCTGCTAGGCCTGAATTTCTGGGGTCTGAGCCCCATTCCTGGAGCCCACTGGTCCCCCCAGGCCTCGATAATGTTGACCTATGGGACAGATGGGCCTTCCTCCCCTAAGTGGGCTACTGCTCCCTCTGTCCCTTACCAGCACCACCAGTCCCTGGGCCTAAACCACTTTCTGCATCACTCTTCTGGCTGTTGCCAATGTGCTGCTGGGCTGAGAGGATAGCCAACACCACCCTTCATCCCACCCCCAGGGGCACCACACAAGTTCCCTTGCCCTGTGTTTTGCACAGCCATAGAAGACACAAAATCATCTGGGGTGTAAAAACTCTGTTGGGGCCCAATTCCTGCAGGGCCCAGACAACCACGGTAGCAAAGTTGGGGACTTGTCCCAACACCCAACTCCAGGTGGGCAGCTTGCCAGAGGCTTGGGTCTGTATCTGGTGGCACTCTCCAGGGTCACTTCTTGAAGTCCTCCTCTCCAGCCTGTGGGATGGGAGCATGAAGGAGCCAGTGCCTTGTGTGACTACTAACTACTCTGGAGCCACTTCTGGCAAGATCCCTAGGTCCCCCATTTCCTGTCCTGTTTGGCTCACCTCAAATGCTGTGTCAACAATCTCATCAATGACAGATGCCTGGGAACGGAACTTCTGCTGCTGATATTCCACCCCAGCCACCAGCTGCAGGAATTGGAACTGGAGCTCCCGCTGCCTGAAGGGACAAGGTGGGGGAGGCTGGACTCTGCTGGCCTGCCTGTATTCTTTCTGGGCCCCCAGAGCTCCCACATGGCTCTTTTTGCCAGTTTCCCCCAAAACTTACATCACCCAAGACCTCCTTTTCTATTTTGTTTCTTTCTCAGTACCTAGAAAAGCCCCCATGTCTGCCTGCACCATGGAGAATTCCAGAATTAAATTGCTCACCTACCCATCTGATGCTCCCTCATCTAACCAAGCCTCTCCATAGACCCACTTAACCACCCACCCACATTCATCTACCCCACCCTTCCCTCACTTGGTCCTCCCTAGATCACCCATCCACCTACACCGTGACCATACTGTGCGGGAAACCATCCACCTAAACCCCCACCCCTTCCCCCATTCACCCACCAGCCCTTCTACCCCATTCATCACTCCACTGGATCTTACCAATCTATCCATCAAATACAGCCAACACTGTAAGATGCTCCAAGGACATAGATGAATAAGAAACAGACTTTGCCCCCAGAGCCAGAACACTGACCTGCTCTGGTTAAGTGTAAACACAGGGTGCTGAGGGCACAGGGAGGGGAACCTCCCCCAGGGCTGGGGGTCTAGAAAGGCTTCAGGAGGGACTGTCCTTAGAGGTGAGGGACTGTCACTGAACTGAGTTTGGAAGAAATTTGGGAGTATGCCAGGTTGGAGCAGGGCTCCTGGAGCTCTGAATCTCAAGAACATTCAGAGAGAGCTCTGAATCTCAATAACTGTGGGGCTCAGGGCAGGCTTCAGGGGAAGCTGCTGCAGCGGGTGGGTGAGTTAGTTGAGGTGCATCTGAGAAGTGTCAAAGCAACGTCAAAGGGGGAAGAGAGGAGGGGGGAAAAGCCAAGGTTACACCAAGAACCACTCTTGGGGGAGGGTCCCTATGGGGATGATATCCCCAAGGAAAGTGTCTCCGCATGCTGAGAGCCCAGACCAGAGTGGTCAGGTGCTAGAACATGAAGGATGAACAGGAGAGCGCCCCAGGAGACAACTGGAGCCAGGATTGGAACTGAACTCTCCCAACTCCTGGTCAACTGAGCCTGACACCAGCATCCAGAGAACATTCCAGGCAGAGAACAATGCAGGCAAAGGCCTATGGGTAGAGAAGTATGTGCCATGCTTGGGAAAGAGTGTGGGCAAACAAGGTTGTGCCAGTTGGGGGTTGGTGGCTGCAATGATATGAGGTTAGCAGAGGACTGGTCAGACAGGGCCCTGGATGCAGGCCATGAAGCTTGGATTTTCTCTTGGATGAGAGGAGCCCAGAGGTTGGACGGGGGAGGGCAGCACCTGGCTTTCAGACAGAGGGGTCTCAGGAAAGAGAGGAGCAGAATCCCTGCTACAGGAAGGTCCCATGGTGCAGGCAGCCAGGGGCCACTCCTGGTTTCCACATCCCAACCCCGTTCCACTCCCTTGCACAGAGGTGGCAATGTCCCTTTCCCTCCAGTCCTACTGCCAGCCCCAAGACTGCCTCACTTGACCTGAGGCCACCCTCCCTTCTCATCTTCTCACTTGTCAGTCATGGCCCCAAACTTTCGGTCGATGAACTGATTCCACAGGGTGGTCTCGCTCACTGTCTCCTCAGGCTCTGGAAAAAGAGAAAGTGGGGCGGGGTGGGGTGGGTGAGTAGGAAGATGCCTGGATCTGCAGGGAGGAGGAACGCCAGTGTCATGGAGGTTCACAGAGAGGGCCGAA